ATGAAATGTCTGAGGGGCATAATTTACCTGTTTAAGTTAATTTACCTATTTAAGTTACATAGTATTATGTCTGTATTAAACTAAATTAGTTTATACAGAAAGGTAGGTCCAGTGAGTGACGCTTTTTTTAATGTCTAGCCAAGATGTTATATGCCGAACCGCAAGACCATTATGGCTAGGATATGCCCATAATTAGACTCAATGTTTTTGGTTGGAAGCGCTGTAATATCTACAAATTAGAGCTGCTGGCTGGCCCGAAAAGTTAGCTTTGAGATTGCTTTGTACGTATCAATTGTATAGCAAATATAGGCCCGCCATATTGGAGAAAATATGATGTCATTCCGTTCTTACAGATAAAATTAAACACACATCTGAATTATATGGAAATAAGGTGTTACGCTCAAACTGCTGACTATTGATTTGAATGCCTAAAAGATAATGTGAAGAATATAGTGTAGATCTTACGCTTTGAAAGTCGAACAGCTGAAAAAACGACGCAATTCAAACATATTCTTCGACTGTCTCTCTATGATATATTTTTATTTATTTGTACTTCCTCAACAAATACCATTTCAATTAACGAACTTAGTACCACATTTAATTTTAGACGAAACTAAGTATGCACAGAAATGTTTCTACAATTAAAGTCACTTCATCTCGAACATGTTCAAAATAAAATTCCTATCACACATTCTCAAAGAATGAAATGTTGCCACAAATTACCAAACAAATTTTGTTTGAAGCACATATATTTTGGTGCTGTAGTACAAGTATGTGTGTGTTTAAATAGAAGTATAAATAAGCCACTTTTGTGACATTTACACTGGCATTTGAAAATTGTTGTAGAAAGAAAAAAGAAACCTCAAAGCCAAGTTCTTTCATGACTGCGACTGGCAACTATATGAATGCTCTGTAAAATGATGCCACAGCGGCAACTGTGAAAGATGGCAGCAAGTAACCAAGCGTACCTACATAAGAGCACTACTCTATATATACTTGCATATACAACATATGTACAAGTATGTATATAAGTGTATGTACACAGCTTACAAGCTGTTGTGTGTGTTTTGCAGCTGAGCTAGTGTTGCTGACGTTTTCCAAGGCATGTTTCTGCTCTAATTCGCACCCAGGCCAAGTAGCAAATTTCAACGAACTTCTGAGCAATTGCGTGCTGAACTCCAAGAAAATTTCATACTATAGTAGATACGAAATGCAGCCGCCCGCATCTGAGCACGGACGGTGGCTGAACTGGCAGCTGTCTATGCCTATGTCTATGTCTGGCATATTTTGTGAACAGAAATTAGTTGCACACACACATTATATTGGTCTATTATACTGACACAAGAAATTCACATACAAAAAAAAAAAAACATTCCTTATACTCGTATCTACGTATCTATGAAGTAGCTATGTCGGCGCACTTTTATGTTTTGCACTCACATTTGTGGCAGTTGTCGGCCTGGCAGGGTAACAAATGTATCTAATAGTTTATTTTTGGCCCATGCAACGACAGACAGCCGTTTTTACTTTTGGACTGATGTCTGCTGGCTACTGCCTGCTGCCGGCGGCTGCTGATGAAGCTGAAGCGTTGAAAACGACGTCGCTGCTGCTTCAACACCTGTCAACATGAACAACAATGTCGGAAATGCTGCTACAAAACGCTCTGTCAGATGCTTTAACTCTCCTCTCTCTTTAACCGATTGCCACAAATTTAGCAGGAAGCAGCTGGGCTAAGTAGCTAGCATCCTACACACTATACACATAAAAAATCACGCAACATTGGGAACGTGCTGAAAATTTAATTTCAACGCCAAACGCACAGCTGCATAATTAATGAAGCTAAAAAATATACACACATATATATAATAAATAACAACAACAACAACAACACAAAATTAGGAGCAACACCCGCGCCAAGACAAACCAACTTTTGCGTGTGCCACTTTCGGTTGATGAGCATCATCATCTTCATCATCCTCATCATCATCATTATAATTTTCAGCTGCCATCGCTGATGACTTTGATGTGGCAACAAAAATAGAAGCGAAATGTGTGCGTCTACGGACAAATGTTAAATGTGTTACCTGCCGCAGCTAAAGATACACACATTTTTCTCAGCCCTAAATGCAGCTGCGAAGTATTGCCAGAGATTTCAGCATTGGATTAGTTCGACACGGGCTCAGGAGGCTCAACCCAAAGCCAAATTGTCAATTTTAATGTCAGCGACAAGATTTATATAGCTGCATTGATTTAGATGCGGAAAAACAAGAGTCGCCTTCGTGCCATTAAATGTCAAGCGATTGGATTTGTAGACAGTGATTAAAAATACACATAAATAACTAAAACAAAATATACTTTTTCTATATATATATAATCGATTACCTCAAGGAACATTTTAAGTGCCAACGAACGTATAAACTATTTAATTGCAAACGGTTTTTTTAGGAGTTATGTATTCATTAATAGTTTTGCGCAATTGAGCGTTAATTGAAATTGCCAATTTAATTTTTGGCGTTTAAGTCTTAAAGTTTCAACAACAAATGATTTAACGAATACCATAAATTATTTATAGAGATATATATGTGTGTACACGCATGAATATGTATGTCTGCAACAACAAACTACAGTTCCACATAAATAACTATTTAGAGAAAAAATCAATTAATGATAAAAACGAACATTATGTATGATACCCTTCACTTGAAATTAAACGGCATATGGTGCTAAAGAGATGATCAGCGAGAAGCTGATGCAATAAGTGAAGGTCGTCTTTTAACCTTTCCTTTAACCTTTTCCAATTGTTAAGTTATAAAGCAATCGACCGAAGGCTCTCTCATTTATAGAAATTAAAGCTTTTACAAAAAATTTCATAATTTTGAAAGGCACATATTGAATAGGTTTAGTTTGTCGACTATTTAGTTTTTAGTATTTAGAGTTTTACAATTGTCCTTTATGCAGTACCAATTGACCAAGAAGTTCTTAAGAATTCCTGAGCTTTACTTTGTAAAAGTATGGGACCACAAAGGAACAGCGACGATATGATGCAATAAGTGAAGGTCGTCTTTGAACCTCTTACCTTTTCATAGTTATACAGCTATCGAGTAAAGGCCCTCCTCATTTATAGAAATTAAAGATTTTGTAAAAAATTTAATAAATTTACTTATCTTTGATGGAATAGCTTGGATTAGTCAACTATTTAGAGTTATATTTTGCAAGTGTCCTCTATTCAGTACTAAATTGACCAAGAAGTTCTCAAAAATTCCTGAGCCTTACTTTGTAAAAGTATGGGACCATAAAGGATCAGCGACGATATGATGCAATAAGTGAAGGTCGTCTTTGAACCTTTTACGTTTCCATAATTATAAAGCTATCGACCCTCCCCATTTATAGAAATTAAAGATTTTGTAAAAAATTTAATAAATTTTCTTATGTTTGATGGAAGGCACTTATTGAATAGGTTGGATTGATCAAATATTTAGAGTTATATTTTGCAATAGATTTTTATTCAGTGTCAATTGACCAAAAAGTTATAAAGAATTCCTGAGCCTTACTTTGTAAAGCATCAGAGATGAGATGATGCAATAAGTGAAGGTCGTCTTTGAACCTTTTGTCTTTTCTAATTTATGTGAAAAGAAGATTTTACACTAATTTTTTTTAAATGTTCGCATCTTTGATGGAAGGCACACATTAAATAGGTTTGGTTTGTGAACTATCTAGAGTCATATTTTGCAATGGTCCTTTATTCCTTACAAAATTGATTATTTTGGCATTAAAAGAGTTTAATTCTTCATTACCTTCATATTGTTTGCTCTCTATTCATATATAATTAGCTTTATAAGAATTGAAGAGTAAAGCACTGCACTATTTCGAGTTGCTTGCATTTCAGATACTACATACGAGTACATAAATTGCGAAATAATTGTCTGGCACTTTTTCTTCACAAAGCAATTAAAATCCAAAAACATTCGAAATTGCTCAATATAGTAAGTATGTGCTCTGAAAGCCTTTTCTTATTGAGTTTCAAAGTCTGCTCTGGAAGTTGGTTAACTTGCATGGCGCTCTATTTGCGTTCGTTTAACTATATGCCCTGAAGAGGCGTAGAATGAAAATTGATTTTAGTGCCTGCATAAAATTGATTACTTTACGATTGATTCTTGTTTATTTTAGATTTTGCTTACTTTCGAACAAATTGTTTACTGAAAGCTGCCATAATTGCTTTGCGTTTCGTTGCGGTTCTCTCTGTGTATCTCAGAGATACTCGCGCGTTGTGTGTCTGTCTGTCTGCAAACGTTGACCTTGGCTTTAATTATTTTGCTCGGCTTGTTTACAAGTAAATATGTGAATACACAAGCATATAAATACAAACATATACCTAGTACATATAAGCTTAGCTCTTGACACACTCATAGCGGAAAATGAGCCGGCATTATATCGTATGGCAGACAATTGTAGCTTTTGGATCAACTAATTTATTTTCTGAAAGGCTAGAAGCTAATTTTTTTTTTGCGTTTTTGCCATTTGATACCACACAGAGCGGTGTATGCAATACAGATAGAAGAACAGTCGTACAGGTGGCATAAAAAATTGAAATTTTCTTAACGTGTGGAACTTAAAAATGGTGGCTACAATTAAATTCTAAGAACACATTGTTTGCCACTGTCAAGCAGCATTGAATTCTTCGAGGTTTTATCAAGAACTAGACAGAAATAGAACACCAGAAATGGGGTACGAAACACGTTCGCATACGTACTCGTTCGTACATACACATACAAGTAATTATTTTTCATTGAACCCATCATTTTCCTTTCACTCTATTCGTCACTTCCTAATGAGGTATGTCATTACAATCGAGTGCTCTGCTTTCAACGGAAATGCAGCAGACGTTTCTAAAAAGGGGGTGGGGGTATGAGAGGCAGCGCCTCAAATCAAAGGGGCCATGTAGGAAAATTTAATTGAATACTGTTTATATATACTGTTATGTATATTCAATATGGACTTACCTTCATGTCATTGATGATCTGCTGGAACAGGCTGCCCAGCGCGGAGCTATCGCGTTCAAGACTTAGATCCATTGCTATATGGTTTTTGTATAATCCAAGATGTCGAATTCGAATTCGTTACTTTAGCAACTTATGCTTTCGGGCGTGGGTGGTTGAATGTTGATATTTTGCTTCTTCTCTCGTTATGTGTGTATATATATATGTAAGTATATATGTGTGTATATACTAAATTGCTCTTGTAAGTAAAGGAATTAAAAGTTGCTTTGATTTATGATTTTTGCGTTTAATCGACATTTTATTGCTTCGGGTGTTTTTTCATCATTTTGTTTTTTTTTTGGTTTATTTTTGCGTACGTTGTTTTTGTTTCACGTTTGAATTTCGTGCACGTTTCTCAAAAAGGCAGGTCAATCATTTGCATGAGCAGACAATTTTTTGACAGCATCTGTAAGCATACGAAATTGTTGGAACAAATCAGTAAACATGATTTTTCTAGCGAAAAAATACATTTATTTAAAATAGTATATGCATGTGATAGGAAAAACAAAGCAAGACTGCTGCAACTTTCTAATATACAAAGAAAGTTGGAATAAAAGTATTATTTCCGACAAAAAGAGGCGATAAACTTTTAAATATTTATATAATATTTTCTTTTAGGCTATAAGGTGTCTGTTTAAGCAATATAGATTAGGTAGCTTAATTATTCTGACGGCCCATGGCAAAACAAATATAGCTAAGTAGGGCCTTAGCGTTGCCGGGCGTTGGAGATCAGTTAAGAGAGCGTTGAAGAACCCTATTCTAAATGTTACAAATGCTGGATCGCTTCCGTTTTTCTTGATTTTCCAGCATCCGCCGTCTGTTGTGATGTAGTGAGCGGTGAATAGCTTTGTTCTTTGGAGGCTGAGATTATCTCCCCTAAATAATGGTCTCACATCGCCAGAAAGAAAATAAATAATATTATTTTCCCTCGATTAAAACATTGAAGTCACTATCAGCTCACCCCATCGCCACTTCCGACTTTCATCAATTCATGCGATCTACAATCCTACATATAAGCATATGTATGTGTAACCCCATGTGCTGTAAATTACAAAACTATTTCGAGCTACTCATTAATTTTCGAAATTTGTCTTGGGCGATGTAATAATAAATGCAAAGCACTATAAATAAAAACTAGCGCATATTTTCAAACAAATACTTTTATGCTTAATTATGCTTATTAATTTCGACTCTTTTCGAATTGCGTAGGCAAAGCATAAAACACTGACGTTTATGGCATATTATTTTTAATTTTGTAAATCAGCATTTAACTCCCTGTGGCTGTGATTGTTGTTGTTATTGTTAGTATTGGGAGAGAGCGTTGAACGGCAGAAAAAGCTGAAGCGCACAAACAAACTGACCCAAATATGGATAGGCGTGATTTATTTGTTGTAGGCTGTTAATTAAACATATTTATAAAATTGTGTTCAGGGCGCACTGATATGGTGAACTTTAAATAATATTGTATATTATTCGTTAGAAGCTAATTGCTTTGATGCAATTGTAAATTAATGTGCATGTTTTTTGGGTGGCCTCTGTTCGTGCTTCACCATAAGCCACTGGGCAGGAAGTTGCAACTTGCATATTGTTTTGAGTTATAAGCACATAAATAAAACCCTAAGTCAAGCACATACAAACGACTTTCATTAGGAAGTGCAACGACGCATAGGGCTAATAGTTGACCCATTTTAGGGCTTCCATGCAGTTGAAGTACGTGCCGCGGCAAGAACAACGTGTCTAAGCAAATGTTTCAGCGATGACTGTCTGAATAACAGACAGATAGACAGACAGACTGACTGACTGACAGAGACTTCTATGTACGTTTTTCAAAATATTAGGGGTAGCACGTGATATCTACTGTTAGTTTGTTTATATATTTACAATGGCTGCCACTGATAAACGAAAACCGCAAACAACAAATGTGACAAGTCCTATACATAGAGGGGCATAAAGTACAAACATTTTTACTAAGCGCATATCTTTGAAATACGAGTGTATTTTAAAAGGTGAGCTAATGGCCACTTTAAACTAAGGAGAAGCTACATTCAAATTGTTCGTATAAATGAACTTGCCCGAACTAATGTACTCAGTTAAAACCCTTACTTGCATTTTGGGTTTCGTTTTCCTTTGTGAACAATATGACCCGCAAGTGGGTGAAAATTAGTGAGCTACTGAGCTGAAGTCGTTGTTTAACTGTGTCTTTGTTGTGGTTAATTAACTACTTGCTTGCTTGCGAAGTACCACGTGGACAAAAACTTAAGCTCCAGGTAAAAAATTTACCATTTAGCGCTGACTGGGCGAAACTTGCGAGTTGACTAAGCAGAGCCGGAGGCTATTCACATGGCCATTTAAAACTTCCTTAAGACAATCAGCAAGCACTAACCGGAAGTAATAGACAAATTTTAAAAAATCAAAATATTACGGCCAGTCTTGGTGGGGGATAAAACTGATATGCCTAGTTTTTAGGGGAATCTGGATACCTGGTTTGGTTATTCCAGCTCTTGTAATTCCTGAGAACCATTCGTTCATACAGACGAACGGATAGACAGACATCGCTTTATTGCTTTTCGCTTGTCATCCTTTGTGGGGTCTCCCTCGGCTCCTTCTGTGTTTACATATATACACACTAAAAATAGTAAACCCTTTTTCACATCTTCGGTACATGTTTTAATAATACCGTAAGAAATAAGCTATTTGGGAATTGTAAACAAACAAGGCCTTTCTCACTCATTACAAGTTATTTTACGGCTCTGTCCAGTTTTAATGACAAGCCTTGCAATGTCAAAAATATTGCTATACAAAGTACTTGTTGTGTCTCTTAAGTATTTCAAATCGCTGTACAGAAAAGCAACCTTCTATAGAGACAGAAACGTTGAAGTGTCGTCGCTTATTATGACATTGACAGCAACTGTCTGTGGACTCTAAGGGCAATTAGGCAATTGAAAATCGTAGAACAGACCAAGTTTTGTGGCAAACAAAAGATATCCAAGCGTGAAAGTGCGCACAATGCACATATAATGATAAAATGTACTGCTAAGAATGCTGATTGCTGGTGCTGCTGGGGTTGTTGCTGTTGTTGTTGCTGTTCTCGGAGCTGTGTATCTAAGTACAACACATATAGTATACAAAGTGTGCATGTAAAATACATAGAAGGCATGTGGAAAAGCGTATGGAAAAGCATCGAGCAAGCGAAGAACAAGTTGAAAATGCGCGATGGCGACAACAGCGACATCGTCGACGATGAAGACGACGACAGAAACTCAGTCGCTCGGAGCTGGCAGCCAGAGTGGCAGCAGTGTAAATGACCTCTCAAGATAAAGCTGTTTTACAAAGTGCCAACGACAGACTAGAGAGCTTGGCGTTGTTGTCATGGTTGTTGTTGCTGGCAGACCAGCTTGCAACAGCAGCTAAGCCAAGTTGAAGGCTAGAAACGTAGCAACACTTGGCACATGGCTACAGCTTCAAATTGCATTGGAAATCAATCAGACTTTGTAATTTCCGCGAGCCCTTGCGAAATTTCAACGGAAATAACGTTTCAGAGGCAGCTTCTGCTACGCAGCAGCGGTAAAGTGTAGAGATTTTACGTATCTATGGAAAAATTGCAGTTGCCTAATAAAGATATAAAGTGTACAAAAAATGATTCAAATCTACCTTCATTGACAAATCAATGAAAAAAAAGTTGTAACTAGCCCTATTAGTTTCTATACGTCTTTTGTTTTGAAAGGAACTTTGTCTCTAAACAACTAGCTATTCTCTTCTGGCATCGATGAAGGAAACTCCTATGTTCATTCTGAATCAGTCAAAATTTCCAGCTTCCTGAAATGAACCGTTTATTATGCCTTACATAGAAAAGATTGGAAAAAAATAGCTTAGCATAAACAAAGGTCTTGCTCTAACAAATGAGGCTATTGGTTGACTTCGACTGATGATTAATTTTCATCAGATGCGTGTTTGAACGAAATTGAGGCAATTTTTTATGCTCTCCCTCGTCCATTGTAATCCGCGGTTTTACGCATGATTTTTTCAAAACACCGTCATATTAAATTACTCGGCTAAAAATTATTTAACATATATACATATACATTTGTTGCTCACTATATACATATGTGTGTAAAAGCAATTTAAGGTGAAACGTTGCATTGAGATTAATGGATAAATGCCCCTATGCAGCCCCTAGTTTAAGCTGAAACATTGACCCATAAAGACTCGGATTTGTCTGCCAAAGCCGGCACTCAAACAAGATTTATACTTGCAACATGCAAACTGCCAATAGCGGTCAGTGCTCTCTAATGCAACAGCAACAGCAGCAGCAGCGGGCACAGTTAATCATAAACATCCGGCTGGTAAAACGAGTATGAACATACATATATACTCGCACATACATATGTACACATAAGTATCTGTAACTGAAGGCATGACAAACGCATTGACGTCGTTGTGAACATGCAAATTTTAGCCTTAAGCAAATGTCGCTCCATAGACGGCAAACCAAATACTTTTCACAACTTCCAGCGGAAACCAAACAGAACACAAAGCTTGCTTATCGAATACAATTGCACAAAAGGGAAATAAAAATATATCGTTGTTTGCTTAATGATAAGAAATGCGTCAGAAGATCAAAGACAATAAAAACGCGTAGCAACTATTCCAATTCTTTCTGAAAATTAAAGCCACAAAACAAATAGTTGTAGGGCTCGGAGTAACTGATGACGAAGAATGAGCGCAGAGGGCAGATAGACTGGCAGGCAGTCAGTCAGTCAGTCAAAGGGCAGCAATGGCTGCAACAAAACAACTGCAACTACACTGTTGCAAAATTACCAGCAGACCGCTCTCATCATCATGAGCGATGAGGTCACGTAGAAAATCGTGATGTGATCTACAGTGAATGCCGCTTTCCAAGCGCCTACAAATCCGGTGTTCATTGGAGGGCGCGCTCTCGTCTCCTTTGGTAACTTAGTAGCAACAACAGCAGCAACGAAATTGCCAAATCGTGCATAAAACACCAAACAGGAAAACAACAATTTTGCAAGAGGTTGTGCTCCACAACAATTTAAAAACGCTTGTTCTCACATTGAGCAACGAAAATAATTCTTAGACTGAAAACCCCAGAATGTACTAAATGACTAAACCGAGCACTGAAGCGTTGCCCGCATTATTATTCTGCGCGGAGGCACAACAAATGTCAAGTTGCTGTTGCTATTGTTGTTGTTGTTGTTGCGTTGCTGTTGTGGCCGCTCGCTCAAGTGATGCGTTTTCATTTCAACTACGCATAATTTTCCACCCTATTTACGTTTGATCTCCAGCTACGTCTCTGCGGTTTTCACACTGACTGAGATTTGCATCCATTAATACAAGTATACTATATGTATGTACAGACAGACTTCTTTAGAATGATCGACAATTGCT